AATAGTTAATTTGATACTAATATCGATATATTTTTGTCAAATTTTTATGATATCTTCAAACATATATTTTATTCGAAAATAAAAACATCATCGTTTTTTTCAAAATCACATAAAGCCATATTATAACATCGACTGAGATAAATAATAAAATAAAATATTAAAATCACGATGTATCTCGCTGCATTGCGCGAGTACGCTTCTAGTATTATAAAAAATCAAACAGTTTATTTTATCTCCATTCTCATTGATTACTGTTTAATACTTCTAACCAAACACCTCATTAATTCATTATCAATTTATCATACACAAAATTTATAATCTTTTATTTTTTAATATTTATCTCATTTAATCATGTTAATGAATTTTTCAATGATCATTAATGACATTATTTTAATTATTAAATTTTTAAATTAGAATAATTAATCAAAATAGAATAAACATTAAAATTAAAATATAATCAAGTAAATGCGTAAAATGAAAGTAGCTTAGAGTATCTCCAACAGTTTTTCTATAAAAAAATTTAAAATGTAAAACTAAAAGTCAAAATCTATAAAATAAATTACAATCAATTTCAAATGTTTCTCTATTTTGGAGATTTTATTATTAATTATATTATTTAAATATTATATAATTTTATGATCTTAATACATTTTTTTAAATAGATATAAAATGATATTAATTCAACTCTCATTGGTGGGATGAATAAAAAAACTCATTTTTCTCTCTTCTTTTTGGAGTTTTCTCCATGATTCTTTAAAAATGAGATAAGGAAGTTGTTGGAGCATTATAGAGAATAAAAAGTTTGATTTTCTCTGTGCAAATATGTACTCAAGCCAATATTTGGTTCATCATGATTACAATCGATTGTTGCGAAATTGGATATTACACGAAACTGTTAAATCTGTAACTTTTATAAGGGTATGTAACATGGAAGATCATGTGGAAGTTCCCATCTAAACTGATATGGATATCGATTATAAGAAATTCCAAGTTTCAACTTTGAGCGATTTTGCTAAAGAAGTGAAAAGGGAAGTTCCCGTTTCAATGGATGATACAGGGAATGTCATCCTAGAGACTGAAAATCTTTCCATAGTTAAAGAACTTAACAAAAGAGATAGCAGAAAAGAAAGCACTCGATGCAGTTGTTCATGATCTTCATAAAACAAATGCATTGCCTAATGAACAAGAAACAAGATCCAAATCGAAGTCTTATGAGTTCTTTTCTAATAAAGCTTTCTTGCTTGCTAGAGTAGTTTTCATCTTGAAAGTTGTGCATCGACTCTTGGTAATGTTTATGCATTCGGTCCCGGTTTCAAGCAGATAAATCAAAATCCAAGAAATCTCTAGCAGAAAGTTGGATGGTTGAAACTGAAATATTATACTCGTACACATTCTACTTGTAATCTTGAATTTTAAGTAATATGCATCAATAAACAATATTTTATGCATAAAAAAATTAAGAGTTTTTTTATCAATTACTTTATAATATAGTATAGATATTTATTAATTAAAAATCTTAGATCTTAATCGATCATACTCTTTTCTTATTTCTAAACCTACTACTAATTTCATGAATTCTATTAATCTAAACCTACTATTAATTTCATGAATTCTCTTAATCGATTGAATATATGTAATTTTTGCATTATAAGTAATAACTATACCTAAACCTAACAAACCTCAGTCTAAAACTGGATCAACCACATCCGAAGCAATCCGAAATCCAAAACTCAAAATGCTGAGATTGTTTTCATGTCCAAACTCCGATCGAATTTTCTGTTTGCCCAAACCCGAACTCGACCTCCCACCCAAATCCCAATGCACCACCCTACTTTTAAAGGGTATATTAATAAAAATGACATATCTCTTTTGTGAAGATATCCATCTCGCTAACAAAAGATTACTGTAACCTTCACATACACACGATTCAAAAGCAAACCCTGTCTTTTCGCTAGAGTCTGTCGTATTTACATTACCACAACGAACGAACGAACACACTCGTAACATTATTTCAACATAAAACAAAACAACCAAACCCCTCCACTTGTTATTACCTTTTTCTCCTGCTCCAAAATAATCTTCTCAGAATTCCACCACCACTGCTTTTCTTCTTCTTCTTTGTCACAACTGACAAAAAGTTCACCAAATCTTCTTCATCTTTTTCATCTTTCACTCCATTTACACTTACAAACATCCGTGGAGACATGATAGGATTCAAATGCCCTTCCAACACGGCAGGTGACGTCAAGTTACGGGTCATCTCTTTCGTTTTTTGAGTCCGTGGAGCTCCTGTTGCGTCCTCGGTGATCATTTTGTCAAGTAGAGAGGTCCGTTGGTTGCTGTTCTCATTGCGCAAGGGGGATGTGGTAATTTCACAACTATCATATAAAGACGTGTCCGTGGGTAATGAAGCCAATGCCTTCAACTGTTTCCCAAGGTTTAAGATGGTTTCTTGGCATTCAGCCAACTTTTCTGAAGCTGCTGTTATTTCCTGCGCCTGCATAATCAAAGTACACGACAAGATAGATGTAATGGGTATGGATCTTGAATTCAAGAGGACAGGATAGAGATGAAAAGAACTTACGCTTCGAACGGTTCCTTCATCCTGGTCCAAATCACAGATTTTCACTTCATCTTCGGTAATGCTGAAAAAAGATCGACAGTAGGAGCACTCACAACAATGATGGATCTAGTATTTTCTGAGTGGATGGTAACCATCGTAACGTATTGTGCATATACTTATGAAGTTTGAAAAGAAAAAGGCATGATAGTTAATACTCCCTCCATCCCAAAGTAAATGTCCACAATGAAAAATGCACATTTTAAAGGAATTTGTAATTATTACAATTTTCAATTGACAAAAAGACAATTTTACCCTTAACTATAGAGAGAGAATTGTCCTCCATCTCAGTATTGAGGATAGAATAAGAAAGTAGACACTAATTTTAGAACAAACTAAAATAGTAATGTAGATCTTATTTTGGGAGCAAGGGATGACAGCATATCTAATTAGTTTGTAAGGGGTAGATTAGTCTTTTCTTGTTATTTTATTTACTTTACCCTAGTCTACAGAACCCTTTATGATGTATTGTTTCTTCCTTGATGCAATTCAAAACGAAATTGTAGCCGTTGTTCCTAAGTTTACGTAAGTATATCTCTATATATTGGCAGTAGCTACCATGACCAGGTAAGCAACAAATTCTAAATTGTCTTCAATAATAATTTAGATGGTTAAACTACTTCCAAGGAGGCAAAGAGAAAAAGAAAAAAAACCTGCTTTACGTAAGGGAGGGAAGAAGAAGGCTATTTTTGGTATTTGAATTTTAGAGTTTGCATTTTATTATCATAAAAATGAATACTTTTAACCATAATATAACGATTTCCAACTGTTGAGGCAGGTTGTTACTCTTTGTTTTCTTTTTTAATGCAGCCTTTACTCAGAAAGGTGTTAAATAGTAACTAAGCCTTTATCACAGTATTTGGGTGCAGGGTGAACAAGCAGGAAATTATTACACAGAAATGGAAGATATTTCTTCCTAATCAAAGAGAGAAATTTTACCTTTCCGGATGGAGGTGTGTGGCATCCAGTGGTTCATCAGAGTTGGTACTATTTTCTTGCTCCTTGATAGATGTAGATTCTTGATGAGCCTCATTGCATTCAGCAATAACCTTAATTGGATGTTTGTCAAGCTCTTTCACCGTTATATCTACTTCTATTTGGTCTTTGAGAGTTCCCTTCTGTTCATTTAGAGCTTCGACCCCTGTTTGCTGACTTCCAATARCTTTCTCTGATTCCTGAAGTTGAATAATCAAGGATGCACACTTGGAACTTTCCGATTGGAGCTTACCTTCCAAATCCTTATTTATAGATTCCATATGTGCCAGGTCATCTTTCAATTTTCTAACTTCTTCCCTCACATTTGGTCGAAGCTCTTCAAAGTGGAAAATTTTATTTCTTATGTTCCAAGAAGAAGCCATAGGCCAACCTGGTAATTGATCTTTTGGAAAGTTCAACTTATCAGCTTCTGACAAATGATTGATGATTCCACCTTCCACCTCGCTCTCACTGCGTGTTTCATCCCACTCGAAGTGCTTCTTGATTTCATCTTTCATGCTTGAGACATCTTGAAGGGAAAAACAGTGGTTCACTATCCATTCCAGAGCAGAAGTCAACTCTTTGGCAAAGTCCTCCATACCGACCTTCCCATTTAGAAACTTATTACAGCTTTGAAGAAATGCATCCAAAATAGCCCGAAGCTCAGATGTTTTCCACTGAAAGATATGAACAGTGTACCCTGTAGGTGTTTCTGACGTCTTGTAAGGGGATGAATTGTCATCTTTCTCAGACAATCTGATACCTTCAATAAGTTCAATAAGTCTCTGTATCGATTTGTTCACACCAGAATGGAGTAGTTCATTGCTCAGATCTGTCGGTGGGATTTCATGATTAACCACTTCATCAGCCGGATCCTTGCCTAAGGTTTTTTCTGGGGTTTTAATTTCCTCGGAAATGTAGCCGTTTGCATCCTTCTTGTCGACACACATGTTAAGATTGTAGTTACTTTTGCCTGCCAAAGCAGCTTTGATATCCTCTAGCATGTCATTAGAACTCCTTCGCATTATTCTGGCATGCTCCGCGACCACTTTCAATATATTATCAAGCCAATGCAAATGATTTTCCTGAACAAGACTAGAACTTGCAAATGGCTTGTCAACAGAAACTAGCGCCAACTTTTCCATCTCAACAAAGTCGTCCATCAAGCCTATATCCGAAGTTCCAACAGTATTGCATGATGGTGCCCAAGATTCAGCCATGCTGACCTTTTCATCACTACCCATGTCAGAAGATGAAGTAGCCATTGAGAATTCATGAGATGTGGTAATGTTTCTTGGTGGTCCCATAGCTGTTTGACTTATTGACAATTCACTTGTTTTTTGGTTGAGGAATTCCTTTAGGAGCCTGTTCTCTTCTTCAAATACACACAACTGCTCGGTTAAGAAGGTGATCTTTTTACTAGGAGCATCAGAAGCATTGTCAACTACATTTGATGCTATTGGGAAAGGGTTTGACCTTCTTCTTGTAATTTCAGCTGGCTCTGTGCCTAATACTTCAACCGCATTCTTCATCTTTGCCAAGGCAGCAGGGCCAGGCAGCCGTTTTTGAACAAGCAGGCGTAGTCTTTGGCCCTCTGTCTCCAACTTTGCAATTTTCTTGACACTCCCCAGGTATTGCTTGTGTGCCACTTCAGCTGTTCGTCTATTAAACTCCCTCTCTTCGTTTCTAATCTCAAGCTCCTTCTCTAGCACTCGGACCTCATAACTTAAAGAAGCATTCTCTCTTTGTGTTGATTCTAGTTTACCCACAACAGCACTCAGATCATAATCCACCTGAGCTCTGACTGAGTGTAATTCATCAATCATCTTTTCCTTTGCTGAAACAGTCTTATTCAGTTGAGTGTTCTCCAAACCTAGTTTGGAAAGTCTCTTATTGGATTCAGCTAGCTTTTCCTCCAAAATCAATCTTCTTTTTTCATGTTCACTTGATGTCTTCATCACAGCATCATGAATCCTTTTTTCCTGCTCTTCACGAACAAAACGCAACTGCAGCATACACTCCTTCAATGCTGCATCAGCACCATGTAATCTTTCCTCATCAGCTACTCTCTGCTGAGTAGCTTTCTCTAGTTCTTGCTTTAGTGCTAAAACTTCTGTTTCTGCCTTCTCCCATCCTATATGGCAGATATAGTTTAATCAGAATAAACAAGAATTCTTACAAATGGCAAGCTTTAATGTAAAAAAACATGTAATCTAAGATAAAACGAATTCCCTCCTCTCAAAGTCCATGTTTGCTTATGAAAGTAAAACAGGCTGCTTTACCATCTTTATTTAAGTTTAGAGAAATTTTGGATATGTAAATCAAAACACTATGGACAGAGAAATGTGGATGCTAAACTTGTAAGCGATTTCACATGACATCGGTAGTTTACAAGAATAGGGTTTCACACTTAAATGTCAACTCTTATTCAGTTTTTTGGGAGTAAAATGAAACAACCATAATCTACATGGAGAGAAATATAGTTGAATGAAAATACTCATAAGACTTAAAATTATAAGAGAATTACAAATGACCTTGAATGGCTTCTCGCGCAATGTTTGTCTGCTTCTTTGCGATATCATCTTTAGCATTGATCTCTGCAAGTGCAGCTGAAAGCTTTTCATCAGAAATTTTCAAATTTCTCTGCAGTTCCACTTTATCAGCCAAATTTGCCTGCAAGTAAACCTTTTATGTAATGATGCACATGTGGTATATGAAAGTTTTTATACATGTTAAGTATAACCATTTAAATATCCAACGTACGGGATATAGCAAGAAGGTACATCTTGCAAACGGATCTTATTGGGCAACCCTTATGTGGACCCGAGGTTAAAGAATCTGTGAGAACTTGGTTTACTTAACATGTAACCATGAGATCTCAAAGAAATGTTTTATACATGAAAGTTTCTAAGAATTATGTTAATTATTTGGAAAGAATGTTTTATCATGAAACCATGACTACTCACTAAGCTTTTAGCTTATGTATTCATGTATGCATCTCAGGAATCAAGGAGTAGGAACAAGCTGAAGTGTTGCTATTCTAAGATGTTAGACCATTATAAGTTGTAAATTTCCGCATTTCCGCTGCTGTAATAACTCTATTATAATGAAATAAATGTTTAAGATATGAAGTTTCTTTCATTCACTTGTACCAAGGGCAAAGGACAATACCCCCGGGAACCGGATGTTACAACATGCCACCAATAGAAAATTGTTGGTACTTAATTTGTAGGAAAGCCACCTCAGTTGCAAGCTCAAAAGTCAAAGGAGTAACCTTAGAAAGCAGAAACTTTTTCACCTTTTGTAAGGGACGGAGTAAAAGTGAATGAACAAGTAAGAAGAGGATGCTTTATCTACCTCGTCTTCATTCTCTCTGTTTACTTTGTCAGCTGCAATCATTGTTTTCTCAGTAGATTTTTTCTTCCAAAGCCATGACTTGTGTTCCATCACTTTAGAAAGCCCTTTGGTTAAAAGTTCATGAATAACTTAAATCGAAATCTGCAAAAATCAAAAAAGAAGACACAAATTTATTATCAAGATTCTAAGATAACATGTACACATGAATTAATATATAAGAGACAGAAACTGAGGGATGAGGAAAAAAAAACAATAAAATGCTGCCTGATAGACTTAAAAAAGAACATGTGAACCCAAATTCAACTATATCAGCGTTGCAAGATAAACTTGTAGCCATTATTTCAACTACCAAAAACAGTTATGGTAATGTCTTCTCTAGCTGCCTTCTTTGGTAACTTCTCCCTAATGCAACAAAAATTCCAACATGCTTACACATCAAACTACTTATAAAACACATCAGCCCTAACTAATTTTCTATAAATCTGACCTTGACTGACTTTTAAAGCTTAGAACTAATGAAGACACCTGTCATTGGCAGATTTCAATTAGAGGTCCAGCTTCTATTTGCAACTTGATAATAACGAAATGAGTGTTGCATGAATACTGATTAGGTACCTTTAACAAATTTTGATTAACAGGTTATGCTTTTCCATCGACCTTTTTCATGGACATCGAAGGGTGTGGCCTAATTGTAAGCAAAATGCATAGATACTGATGAAACCTATCATCATTTATCTGTGTGTGTGTCTGTATGCAACTCGAGAGAATTACGAAGGTTCATGAAAAACATAACACTGATAAGGAAATTATTGATGGTAGTCCTTCATATGTTCATATCTAAAAACAAATGCATGTAAAATTCCATGTGTGGCTAATTTATTATTATATGCCAAGTTCTTGGTAGCCCTTCACACAAATGCATAGTGGGATTTGATTCAAAGAAATAATCTAACGTCCTTGACTAAAACATCTGAAAAGTATGATTATGAAACAGTTAGGGGATGTTTACCAAACACTTATCCGGTAAGCGCTTATCGGTAAAATTTAACACTATTACTTACTTACCGGGTAAAATTTAACACTATTACTTACTTACCGGGTAAAATTTTAGTCCACCAAAACAGTATAGCATGCAACAATTCACCTGGTAAGTGTTTACCGTGGTAAGAGTCGTCGCCCTCACTTACTGGGTAAGACTCTTGGTATTTGTCTCGCTCTTACCGGGTAAGATTCTTGGTCCTTACCATATTCATCGGTTAAGGTAATGTGACTTGGTATTCACTTACCCGAGTAAGCGTTGGATAAATGGCCCCTTAGTATGATTCACCAAATTTAGTGACTTCCTGCGGTAATAACAAGTAACAAATGCCTAATAATGGGGTTTTAGCTTTCGCAAACAGATATTTCAAAGCAAATAGCTCTATAATGGTGAGGGATCTGGAATTTCAAGAGATAGTACARAGTTCTTTCTGTGCATAGCATAGTAGAACACATCCAGAAACGAAAAAGAAAAACAGTCCCTTAATGTGAATGTATGTTTTTACCATTTAATTATCAAAAACTGAAGCAGAAGAGATTATGTGAGTTCATACAACTAGCAGTACGACCTCAGTTCTATCGTAACATGCCATAGAAACAAGACAAAAACAAAAAATTAGGTTTCAACCTACGCTCAAAACCTTGACCAAAATATCCACAAACAAACATGACTAAAAACAAAACAAATCGAAGTAATAATAATCAAACAGAAGCGAAAAAGCGATGTATAACAATTCAGGTTCATACTAAACAGAGAAAAACAAAACACAGTCAGTGCATAAAATGACGACTAAAATCAAATTCTCATGAACTACTGAAACAAAGCAGAACTGTAATAAAGCAGAAAAACACAATAAAAGAGTACATACATTGAAAAATAAATAAAACAGAAACATTCTTTTGCTTCCATTGTCGATCATCTTTCATAAAAACGAAACTGAACTTAAATCTGAAGCATTTTGCAAGAAGAAATTACTTTAAGAGCAATGAAATCGATGTAATGAGACAGAGGATGAGTAAATAAAACGGAGCAAGTTCGATCTTACTGATGAAGCATCGTCTGAAGAGGGGAAAACTTGCAGAAAAGTGAAAACAGATGGCGAAAATGGAGGAGAAAAGGCCACAGCTAGCTGCCTGCTCTCAAGAGAGCAGATGAAGGATTACACGTACAGATATAATATTGATGAAAGTGAGACTATTTTAATTAAAGTAGTTCCCCATTTTCTCAAATAACTTCATTCCGTTCAAACGTATCAATTTTAGTTTAATTTTGATCATTAAGGTTTAGTGAAAATTCCAAAAAGTGGGGCCTAACTTTAATAAGTACACAAATCATCCTCGTGGTTTGCATTTAGGAACTGTTTACCAAACATTTTTCCGATAAGTGTTTATCGGTAAAATTTAACACTATTATTTACTTGGCGGGTAAGATTTTAGTCCATCAAAACAACATCGTATGCAACAATTTACCCGGTAAGCGTTTACTGTGATAAGAGTCGTCGCCCTCACTTACCGGGTAAGAATCTAGGTCCTAGTCTCGCTTTTACCATGTAAGATTCTCGGTCCTTAGCATATTCATCCGGTGAGGTAATGTTACTTGGTAAGCGCTTACTCGGGTAAGCGTTTGGTAAACGATCCCTTAGTTTTAAAAATGGTTCCTTACCTTTAACTTCATTAAAAGTGTTAGTTAAATGACGAGATTTTTGTCTTTTTACTAGTTTTTTATGTACAGAAATCATCTTGAAACAACCCTCGACCTCCGTCGTAATGGTTTTTTCGTTTTACCATCCTTGTTTTTCTTGTGACTCTCCCCGTTCTATTCCCCCAATCTCTCCGACCATGGCTACACCATATCCCAACAAAAGATAGTTAGATCTTAGATTGTTCCGTCCACTAAGTCCTTGAATATCAATCGTTCGATGTGCAGTACAGCTTTCAACATTTCTGTCTGATTATCTTCTTGACTGTTGTTTCTCACGAGGTCTTTTTTGAGTGCACTGTAAATCGGGTCAAACAAGTTGTTCGTCGTCTTCTTGCTCCGTGATTTTTTGGAATTTGAACCGCATTTATGTAACATAGTTGGCGCATTCATTTAATGAAATGATATCCCAAGGAGGCAATTGTCTGTTCAAGTCAAGGATTTTAACAAAGAGTCAAAGGGTATTCCTTTACTTGACGAATGTGTCGTTTTTGTTGATATATTGTTCTTCTACCACCACTACTCAAAGCCGAATTGTCGCATTTATTTAAGATTTAAAACAGGCATGATTACTCATTTAGGTATATAATCACATGACCAAGACCCACCACAAAATAGTGACGAAAATCCACCTACAAAATGGTGAACCAGACCCTTTCAGCTCCATCGTGCATCAAACTATACTACTACTATCTACTAATATGCTCATAGATCTTCAAAAGAAATTGTAGGTCTCAAACCCAAAACCAAATAGGTCACTCTCTCAAACCATAAAATCAAATTGTAAAATGCAAAATTCAAATCCCCCTTTTTACATCTATCTCCCTTAAGGTTTTTTTTTTTTAAATTAAGGGGCCGTTTACTAAACGCTTACTTGGAAAGTGCTTACCGAATAAATTTCTTTATCGGATGAACATGACAAGGGCCAAGAATCTTACCGGTAAGAACGATGAGAATGATGAAGAGTTTTACCCAGTAAATGAAGATTACGACTCTTGCTCAGGTAAGCGCTTATCCAGTAAATTGTTGCATTCAATACGTTTTAATGTACTAAAATCTTACTCATCAAAATAAATTATAGTGTTGACTCCTATAGGTACGCGCTTACCGGGTAAGCATTTGGATAAACAGCCCCTAACAAAGTTAGTGTGACAGACATTTTTAGAATAAAATAAAATGCTTAACTAAAAAAATCATTACTAAACAAATTAAAGGTTGGATCCCGCTTTTAAATATTTAATTAAACCTGAAGGACCAAAATTATAGTTTACTCATAATAAATAATATTTAATTAAAAAAACGAAATAATGTACTTTAAACAGGATAACTATTTCGCATTAAAAAGCCTGCACAAGAATTTTAGTTGCATTATTTTATTATTTTCATAACACACTCCAAATAATCCCAAAAAAGCTGTAACATCTGTATGCAAAAATGTATTTTATTTACAAATAAGTGTTTTGATCATAATATACGTTATTTCGTAAAAACAAAAATAGATAGTTAACTAGGAAAATAATTGAGAACTATACAAAGTTGGAAATTAGTAATTACTCGTTATTTTTTGTATAAAAGAAGGGTAAAAAAAGATCTTCATATTTAGATTAATAGTTGAAGATCAATGTTAATGAGATGTATCAGATCAATTTTCGTATCAAGCTTAATTTATGAATGAATGTAAAATTAAAAGTGATTAAGGGTTCAAATCTTTTTTTACGCTTCTCACCTTAACTCTTACTATCACACGATTATTCGCTCAAAGTAAAACAATACATGATTATTGGTTTTCAGTCTTTTTATGATTCTTATTTGATTATTTCTCCGAATAGCTAAGTATCTATTTTTTTTTAAGAGAATAACATACAAGATTATTCATTTTCACATGTGTTGGAACAACACATGATTATTGATCGACATGGTTCTTATTTATTTTTTATTTTTTTGTGATTTTCTTATAATTATATCCTCAATTATTAATTATATCTCAAAATAAAGTGTTTATCTTATATTTAATTATGTTTATCTGCATTTAGTTAAACGAATTCAAAAGTGGAGTTTTAATAAATTGTACTTACGCATAATTTACTTGTAATCATAAATTTTACATAACATGCATTAATAAACAGTATTTCATGCATAAGAAATGATTTTTAAGAGTTTTTTGTCAAATGCTTTAAAATATAGTATAGATTTAGAATAATTATAACAAAACTTTAAATTAATACTAAAAAACAATAATTTAACAGTGTTTCGTATAACACCAATAATAAAATATCTTTTTCGAGTTCTTTTAACTGAATTACAAATTTAACATATCATGTTCAATTATTACATGAAAATTATATCTTGTTCAACTTTTTTTCAGTAAGAAGTTGACATCAACTCTCCATTGTCGATTTACAATTAGAATTGTGATACACAACTATTTCTTGTTCATATATATACTTTCTTGAATTCCCTTTCAAAAATAAATAAATTTGATAATATATATATATATATATATATAGAGAGAGAGAGAGAGAGAGAGAGAGGAGCGATCAAATGAAAACCACTCCAATTTGTAAAAACCGTAAAAACTACTCTCATCCGTCGTTAATCTTATGAATTTTTTTCATGAAATTGTTAATCTTGTGAAATTGTTTCATATAATACTTTTTTTGATGAAATTGTTTCATATGTGGTTATGAACTTGTTTCATATGTGGTTATGAAATTGTTTCATATGTGGTTATGAAATTGTTTCATATACTACTTAATGAAATTTTAATGAAACTGTTTCATGTATTTCTCTAAAATTAAAATAATGAAGATGATAATATCAATGATTAACACCCTCCACAATAATTAAAAATGGTTAATCAACCTCTCATAATTACAAAAAAAATGAACAAAATGAAAAATTATAATTGGTTGAATGAGGCTTTCACGGTTTTTACAAATTGAATGGTTTTTATTTGAACTCACCCTATATATATATATATATATATATATATATATATATAATTTTAAAGTAAACTACAAATTCAGACCCTATGGTTTGTCATAAATAATATGCACTTTCCACATTAATTACAAGATAGCAATCGAAATTTATAAAAATGTTGATTCATCATTTAAGTAGTGATAAAAAGTTCCATTAAATAAGGAGCATTTCATGATTTAATCAAAAAATTTATCATAACCCAATCAAAATCGATTTTATGATTTTGGTCCTTGTGGTTTTTCCTTTGCATAAAAGATAAAAAAAAATCGATAAAAGAACAAAAATACCCTCTTATTCAAAGTAATTTTTAACAGTAGGAAAAGCAAATACAGACGTTTTTTACAAACTATGTTGATGATTTTGTGATTTCAAAACACATAGATAAAAAGTGTTACTTTTAACAAACAATAGGGACCAAATTTATAGTTTACTCCTAATTATATATATATTTTTTATGGGAAACATGAGGAATAAATGGAAATGAGTGGAGGTTCTTTTATCTTGGCTTTTGTAGGACTCGTGATTCGGATGCTCATTAGCAATGATGGTCTAATTTATTTAAGAACGTTACCTCATGTTTGGCTTGGTCCCACCTTCCCAATCGAGCCGTTTATGAAAAAAATAACATCATTTTAACCCAAAGTGGATATTTTTGTCCTGTCTTATTTTTTATCTCGTTATTGGAAATTTGTTTAATTGTTAATTTCGATATCTCATGATTAGTTGAGGTTTGTTACATCTCCAACAACCATGTTATTATATAAATTTTGGAGATTTAAGAAAAATTTGTTTCAATGGTTATGTTAAACTTTATTTTTGAAATAGACAAAAAAAAATGAGTGGGGATGGAAAAATCTTCAAATTTGGAAATAAAGAAAAATATAACATATTTGTTGGAGATGCTCTAAAAATGTATACTACTACTGTTAACTTTCCGCTATGATAAGACGTGTCTTTTTATTACATACATACATACATACATACATACATACATACATACATACATACATACATACATACATACATACATACATACTATATGAGACTTGGGATCATGTAAGACCAACTTGTTTTCGTGAAACCCGTGAGACCATTTTTTTACACTTAAACCTTCATAGCAAAATGCTATGAAGGTAACATTCACAAACAATGTTTTTGCTGTAAATGTTTGATTTTTTTTTTATCTTTACATCGTTTTGCTATGAAGTTTTAAGTGTAAAAATATTGTCTTACGAGGTTTCACAAAAACATGTTGGTTTCACGTCAACCCAACCCTTATACATGGTCTTAAGTTTAAATTTATTTTTATAAGAAAAATGTTTTTTGAAAGTTCAAAACATAAACGTAATAACTATCCGTGTAAATTATGTTTTTTTGTCGACTTTGTTTATTATTAAAAAAAAAACCTTGTGGTTTAAGTTTTGTTTTGGTTTAGTTTCTCCTTGAACTCTATTTATGCCC